TTTCACCAGTCGCAAAGCCTTGACCAAATTTATTTATGTTGTGTGAACAGGAGATTCAAGAAAATTCTTCAGAAGAACAAATGCAGGTTCAACTAGATGTAATCTAAAAGGAGTTTCGACAAGCACTAAAAACAATTCCGGAAATCCATTCAATGTTTAAAGACAACTCTTCCAACTTAGACGAGTTTTTAAACTTAACCCATTAAAATTAATTGAGCAGTTCCCTGAAGTTGTATGGGATGTCTGCAGTGTCGCTTTGTCGCTACCCATATCCTAAGTCAGTGTCGAGTATCTGTTTTCAGTCTTAAAACACATGACACCAGACCATTGTAGTCGATTTATATTAGAATCAACTAATGATATGCTTTTTTTACAAACAAACAAGTTTTTAATTTGAACATTTTTTGATGACGTAGATATTGTAATATTTTGTAGTTGTAACTTTACAATTTAGGGTGTAAATAATGTAAATAAACCTTTAAATCTTTTTATAATTTTACGATTATATGGTTTCAAACAATCTGAGAAATCTGTGCATGCGACAATACAAATCAAATCAAAATATTTGGAGTTGTATTGTTCTTATTAATTCTTACTATCCAGCAAAAGCGAGACAAATTAACTTTTGGCTGTAAGCAGCCATGGCGGAGTAGTAGCGCACTTTCCTAAAAAAATAAGGGATCCATGGTTTAAACCCACCTTTGGTTTTGCGACATTGATTAGGAAGTAGGAGTAAATCTCCTGTTAATTACTTTTTCAAGGTGCTCTGTTATAAGACCGTTATAAATACTTCTTAGGGTAAATAAAATAAACATATATATGATTCATAAGAGAAAATATTATTGGTACCCATTTTTACGGAATTTTCACGTAAAAGCTCCAGATAAAAAAAAACCATATATATAAAACTAAAGAAAACTTTTTTCTAAAGTCCGGAGTCAATGATTTTTGAGCTCGGAGTCCGGAGTCCCAAAAAATCGATGAAACATCGCACCCCTGATATATATATAAATATATATATATATATATATATATATATATATATATATATATATATATATATATATATATATATATATATATATACATATGTATATATCAGTTCTTGGAATTAAGAAAAATGAGGTGAGCAATAATTTGCTGACCTCAATATTTTTGAGGTCGGCATAAATTATTTGATAAAAAGGTCTGACCATAAAACATAGAAATGAGGTCAGCAATTTTTTGCCAACCTCAAACACTTTCAGGACAGCAGTTAGGTCGGCATCGACGAATGCTGACCCTATTTCCGAGGGGTTAAAATATATATATATACATATATATATATATTTTAACCCTCGGAGGTTGAAGGTAGGCTGCAAGAGCAAGTCCAATTATGTTTACAATGCGTTTTTGCACCTTGTCTAAAAGAGAAAGGGCATCATTAGAAGATCCGCCCCAGATATGGCAACAGTATTCCATACAAGGTCGGATTTGAGATTTAGATCGAGAATAGGATCCAGAGTAAGAAAGTGTCGAGCTCGATAAAGAGATGCAACTTAAGCAGATGCTAACTTTGCAATGGATTTGATATAAAGTTTCCAAGAAAGATCAGAAGTGAGAGTTAATCCTAGAAGGTGAAGAGTAGATGAGTCATCAAGTACATTACGGTTCATAAATATAGGAAGGTCTAAATTATTGCGATAACGATTGGCCGAAAAAAATTGAGTTTTATCTGAATTAAAGTTCACCAGCCACTGTGAGCCCCATGCTGTAGCAGAAGTGAGATCCTTTTCAAGCGCAAATGCCCCCTACAAGCAATCAGAGGGAGTTGGCTTCTTATCGTGGCAAGAATAAATGGTAGCATCATCAGCAAACAATGCCACCTTAGATGTAAGTATATCTGGAAGATCGTTAATTTACATTAACTTCCAGAATAAAGAGTATAGGGTCAAGGATTGAACCTTGAGGAACCCCTGAGGTTACAGAATAAGAAGAAGAGTGCTGTCCATCAAGGACAACTTTTATACTACGATTGGAAAGAAAGGATTCAATAATCTTAAAGATATTTCCAGAGACACCGTAAGAAAAAAGCTTATGGAGAAGACCAGCATGCCAAATTTTATCAAACGCTTTAGAAATGTCAAGAGCAATGGCCTTAACCTTTCCACCTTTATCTAATGTACGATAAAACCTATTGGTTATTACTGTTAGCAAATCAGCCGTAGAACGAGAAGATCGAAATCCATATTGATGATCAGAAAGTAGGTTATGAGATTCAAGATGAGAGATTAAGTGTTTGTTAATAAAAGATTCAAAAACCTTGCTTATGATAGGAAGAAGACTAATGGGACGGTAGTTAGATGAATCAGATCGCTCTCCAGAATTTTAAAAAATACGGATAACAGATGCTGCTTTCCAGCAGGCTGGAAAACAAGACTCTGATAAGCACTTGTTGAATAGTTTTGAAAGGATAGACGACGGCTCCGAAGAACACTTCTGCAAAACTATAACAGGTATGTTGTCCAGGCCGCAAGCTGTAGAAGAGCCTAAGCAGGAGATCACTTTAGATACAGAAGCTGGAGTGATATGGATGTTGAGCAATGGATCAACCTGTTCGACGGCTATATCAGGTAGAGCGCAACTAGTGGAGTCATTAGATGATATTGATGAAAAGTTCTTAGTAAACAATTCAGCTTTGTCTTTAGGTGAGGTGACAAAGTCTGAACTGTACAAAAGAGGTGGAATTACAGACTTGCCTATATTATTGATACTATTAAAGATTCTCCAGAAGTCACAAGAGCCTAACTTTTGTGATGAAATACGAGATTTCATGATCTGAGATTAGCGGGCTTTGGTGTTAGACAAAATCTTTTTACAATGGTTCCTAGCAGTAATAAACAGTTGTCTGTTTTCTGGAGAATTGTTTTGTTGATAGATATGGAAGAAATGGTTTCGATTGGCGATTGCAGCAGCACAATGTGAGGAAAACCATGGAGAAGAGTGAGGCTTGACCTGGAATCGTCGAGAGGGAATAAAGGATTCCATGCCAGCCTGAATCTAGGAAGTTATGTAAGAAGCACATTTGTCAATAGGAAGACGAAAGATTTCTACCCAGGGGCCATCACGAAGAAAATCACGGAAAGAGACCCAGTTAGCTTTAAGGTAGTAGTAAGATGTACGATGATAGGGGGATTCTGATGATAAAGAAGAATGAGATAATAGTTTTAGATAGACCAAACCATGATTGGAGGCACCTAAGGGTGAGTGTGGAGAAACTGAGCACTGACTAGGATCAGAAACAAGACATAAGTCGAGTAGAGAAGGTAAATGATTGGGCTTATCTGGAAAGCGAGTTGGAAAGTTGGAAAGCGAGTTGGAAATATATTATATATATTTATATATAATATATATATATATATATATATATATATATATATATATATATATTATATATATAATATATGTATATAATATATATATATTTATATATATATATATATATATATATATATATATATATATATATATATATATATATACATATATATATATATATATATATATATATATATATATATATATATATATATATATATATATATATATATATATATATATATATATATATATACAGAGGCTATTCTAGACCATTTTTGACAGCGTCAACCGTATTTATTTTTTTACAACAAATATTGTCTTTTTTTTGCGCAGATTTTTTATTAAATTTCTCCCTGATGGGAAGAGTACCGCTGCCCAAATTTTTTTTCTAGAAGATCCCCTGATATATATATATATATATATATATATATATATATATATATATATATATATATATATATATATATATATATATATATATATATATATAAAATACTTATTTAATGGGGAAAGCTACAGTTAAACAGCCTAGAATAATTTTATTTTCCTGATTGTTGCGCTCTTGTCAGTAGAAACTTTTAAAACATAAGAAATATTTATTGTCTTTAATAAATACATTGACAATCTTATAGCCTACTGCTGCAAGGAAGTGTGCCGCTACATCGATTGAGGCTTTGGCAACGGGTAGAATCTTTTTTTATTATTATTATTAAAAATATTTCTTATGTTTAAAAAGTCTCCACTGACAAGAGCCTAACAGGCAAAAAAAAAAATTATTTTAGGCCGCTTAACTGTTTTACCATTTCATGTTTTTAAATACACTTAATTTTTACATGCTTATTTTAAGTAGGATTGTCTACTTGATAAATATCGTCAGACTTATCAAGTCTCCTTCATTTGGCAGGAGTCTCTCGAAATTTAAAGAACAATTCATCTCCCTCCCGCATTTACAGAAATTTGAAAATCTTCTTTTTTTCTAATTAGCAAGTTTTAACTAACTAGATTTATACTTTTTTAATTTTTTCATTTTTAAAATGTTTTTTTGGTTTGATTTGTGTTCTAGTAGTATTCTTATCTGCCATGGAGAATGTATCAATTGAAACAAAAATAGGATTAATATATATATCGGACGCCCTAGGTGCAGTATAGTTTATAACTTATAAGTTCTTACTCCAAAAACGCATAATTAAGATGATGGAAACATATGATAATACTTTTAATATAATTAGTCAGTCAAATTTTGAGGACTTTTTTTTAGGCAAAGATATATAGTAGGCAAATACATCATGGTGGGTCAATATCATCAAGTTTCCTCATATCCATCTTTAAAACTTGACAGCTCTGTATAACATATAAATACAATTTCAAGATATATATCGTACATCTAACTAGTTCTACAATTAAACTCCGTTGTTACATCAACATAAAAAAAAACTAGATCCTTTTAATAAAATACTAAAAGTTTTAGTATTTAAATAATAGCTATTTTAAAGTTAAGTGTACTTTTATTAACTTTTTCTATTCTTTTTAATACATTTATTCTAGACATTTTTTAAAAAATATTGTTGCAATATAATAAGTATAAAGTAATCATCAATCCTTTAAAAAACAAAAATATACATGAATTCAAAGTAAAATACCATAAACAGACACTGTTGCTCGTAAAATAGCAATCAAAATGAACTTTTCCATTTTTCGCCAATTTAAGAAATCTTTAATATTTATAAATATAAGTTTATTATTTACTAGGACATGGAAAAAATAACTACATTCGTTTCAAAATGGATTCAATGGTAAGCAAAGTCAATCAATAATTTGTTCTTTCCGATAAAAGATACATTTTTTAAAAATTAGTCACGGCTTTTTTTTGACCGTTACTTTCTTTCGCAAAGCGTTTAATTAAAATTCAAAGGGACATGGCTTGCGTTTGGTTGCCAATGTTTTCAAATTATTATCTCTCTTAAAAGAGAACAATCTTTCTCCATAACAATTCTGATTTTATCAATTTTTTTTATTATTAGATATATATCGGATATATGTAATATGTATAAAAACCAACAGTTTTTGAATAATATAAATAAAATAGTATTAAACTAACTACATTCTTAAATGACGTATCTACCTTAAAATGATGTCCCGCTAAAAAATCCTAAAAAGATTTTATTAAAATCCTATTGTACAAGTTTTGCACCAAAAGTAAACATCCTCTGATCCCCCCCTCTCCTCCATGACATGAGTGCAACAAGTTAATAAAATGTTTTTTTTTTACCATTCTCAACTAAATTTATATTCATCTACAAATTTTAAATTTCATATGATAATCTCTCAACATTTAAAAATTATTACCATATAATATTTGTAACCCCTTCCAATCACATATAATATTTGTAACCCCTTCCAATCACATATAGTCATAATTTTTCAACGCTGAAATACTATACTCTGAAGTTTAAAATTTTTCGATGAATATAAACTTAGTTGAGAATAGTAAAAAAAAAAAAAAAAGTTATCAACTTGATGCCAGTTCCGTCTTTACACATGTCCAGCCTAGGCAGCCGCTGCGGGGCCAGGACATTTAGAGAAGCCAGCAAGAAATCAATTTTTTTTCTAATAAATTTTAATAATAAAAATAAAACTGAAATGGCGCTTTTTTTAATTATTTAAGACGTTTTTTATTTACTAAAACAAGCATAACTCCTACATAAATTTTTTTTTTATTCTTTTTTTCACCAAGATCACCTACCGATTGAATTAGAAAAAAGTTTTCTAATTCAATCTCTTTTCACAATTAAGCAATTACAAATATATAAATACATGGCTGGGGCAAGAAAAAGACAAATTCAGTCTTATCACTAAGTCCTTTGAAATAAAAGTGTCAATATATATATATATATATATATATATATATATATATATATATATATATATATATATATATATATATATATATATATATATATATATATATATATATATATATATATATATATATATATATATATATATATATATATATATATATATATATATATATATATAAATATACAACAGTGTAGTGTATCCAAAAGTATATGAATACAAAAAAAAGCCCCAAGAAGACCTAACGGTCTTGTCATAGAGCACCGCAGAAGTGCATTTAACCAGGAAGTTCACGCCTCCTTCCTTACCGTGACGCGAAAATATATCCAAAGCTCGTTTCGAACCTGGGTCTCCTGCTTATAAAGCAAGCGCTCTAATCACTGTGCCACGGCCGGACGACTGAGATTAACTGAGATTTTTTTTTTTTTTTTCTTTTTTTTTCTTTTTTTTTCTCTGTTTACATAACATAAGAATTTTACAGATTCTACTACATAATATAAAATTTAACAAAATAAGTAAAACAGATAGGGACTCAAAGAAGATGAGGATGACAGAACGTCATCGCAATCTTTTCATAGAACCCCTTTAACAAGATTTAATTAAAATATCGTAATATGACATACAAAATAAAAATGTCAATAAAATATCATAACAAAATGCGTAATGCGAGATTGAAAGGTGAAGATAAGCTTTTGCTTCTCTTGTCTTAGTTATGGATTTTGTTGTGATTACAGTGTACGCTAAAGAACTTTTTTAAATTTACCTAAACGATGCGAATATTTATATTCTGAATAACAAACTGCATTACACGAACTTAGTTCCCAAATCAGTTGAAACTAATATTAGTAAATTCAAAAAAATTATTATTAGAAACTAATATTAGTGAATCCAAAAAAACAAATCATCTCAATTTACGTCTGGTTATTTAATCAAAGAAACTTGAATTCAGTCTCAAAAGTCAATGTTGTTCTAAGGATGACTTTCAGCGCTAGCATTTACTTGTTCGTTTTTGGACAATGCAGTAATTTTAATTAACAATATATTAGCATATAAAAAAATCGACTAGAAAAACGAATACAATTTTTTTCTGGAGAGGCCACAACCGTTGGGGGGCAGATGACCTAAAAACGGGTCTGCTTAATGCTCTCACGTTTGGAGAAAGGAAGTGGGGCTTTTTTGTTCCTTAGCTCCAATTTTTTAGATTTATTTTTTGAGCCTAACTTTTTAATACGGAAAAAAGTTTTTATTTTTTTAAAAAGACAGCAAAAGTAAATCAAAATTAGTTAAAACAATCTCATTGCAGAAACATGGAGCGCAATATAAATTACAAAATTAAAAAAAAATTTTGTTTTGCAAAGCAGTAAATAAATCCGCTTCAGCAATGATTACTTAAGATTTATTATTTTATGACTATGAGAAAAATATATATCTTAAAAGCTAACAAACATTATTCTTGTCATATAATTAATTAATAATAAATAAAGATATGAAACATAAAATACAATTTTTATACATACACATTAAATATTTTTGAATATCATTGAATATTCGTGGAAAAAATTGTTTATTTTTAATTAAAAAATCTTGTCTGCCAGGGCCACCTCAATTGTTTATTTTAATCATGTCGTTGATGTAAAAAACAAGTCAAAAGTATTTTTCTTTGGTTGGTGAGGCCCTGAATTTGGTGGGGTCTCTGTGCTATGTCACAACGCTCCAATACCTATTTCAGCGCCTACAACTTTTTTAGTTTGGAGTGAGAAAAATAAAACAGGAATTCATAGTGGGTTCTGTTCATCATGGGAGGAGAAGGATTTGAAAATTTTTCAATACAATAAGTTACAGTGCTTGTTTTTCATTCGGGCGTTTTAATACAAAAAACTTCAATCTTCTGAAATTACAGCGTTTTAATCCAGTTAACGAAGTTTGAAATTACAACAAAAATAAACTCATTTCGCAAGTAAAATTTTTCTGTCAACATACATGTATAAGAAAAATTAAATTGTTTGTTATTTATGAAATATATTACTAAATTATGTATTTTTTCATATAAGTGTACATTTATAGAAGAAATTTTTTTTTGCTTTTTTTTAATGCTTTTTGTTGCATTCCTAATTAGCAGATACAGCCGTTTCAAGAATTGTTTGATTAGAATGTTTTGACATTAGAGTTATACAGTTGTACAACAAAAATTAAAGAAACGTTTCATTTCCTTAATTCCTAAATTGTAGAGAAATGGGGTTTTGTTATTATGGTCTATATTAAAATCTCTTTCTTTATCAACATGTAAATGTAGTAGAAGAACAACTAGTATTGCCACTTTAAACATTAAAAATTTTATGTTGAAATATATGTTGAGATATAATCCTTAATATTATTTATTCTGATTTGTATTGTCTTTATCATAAAACTAAGCTTTTTTCTTAAACTAATTTGGGAAACTCATTGCCTTTTCTGCCTTTATGTTTTTCATCTTATTTATTCGGATAAACTTTCCTATTAAGTTTATTACAAATCGATTAAGATAATCACAAAGTTAAGAGATAAAAAAAAGTTTTTCTTTTGAAATAACTCATTTAGAGTAGTAAATGATGGAAGTATCGAATTAAAAAATTTAAAATATTTTCGCTCTTTTTTAATTTTACACTTCTATCGTTTATTATAATTCGAAATTCCGGGCCGTTAAGTTCAAGGGATTTATAAAATATATTATAATTAATATATAAATATAAAATAATTTATTATATAATTAATTATAATATAATATACAAAAATATAAGATATATTATATAAAAATATAAAATAATTATAAAATATTATATTTGTCTATTAGGCACGTTGCATATGGTATTTTTAATTGAACAACATTTTTTTACGTTAGAATTAGAGTAAACTTTTTGTTTAAATGCAAACAGAATGCTTAATTATTGTAATATCAAACAGGAGAATATCGGCAAGAAAACAATTTTAGAAACTACTTTAAGCAATTAATACGATTTTCTTACTATTCGAGTATTTGCAGTAAGTAAGCACTTTAGTTTATCTTACTTGTGGTACTTTAAAATAAAAGTCAATCATTGTTAAAGAAATCTATGATCATTGTTAAAGAAATCTATGAATTCTTTGTTGTATATATTGCCTGGTAATATTTACCTTATTATACATTATTATGATATATATTGTTGTGTTTTATTCATTCCTTTTATTTAAAAAATACTTTATTTACTGTGATAAATTAATAACAATTAATGTCAATTTATATATAATTCTTTTTAGTAGCCAAAAATAAAAATGATTTCTTGTTACGAATGTGGAGCTTAAAAATGGAAAGATCATTGAAATTGAAAAACAAAAATGAAAAACAAACACTACTTCAAAGTTAAAGATTTTTAGTTTCTTCAAAAAAAAAAGACTCAGTAAACAAATAACATATTGTAGAAAATAGTTTAAACAACTATGATGACGTTTTAAAAAAAAACTGTAGATTAAGTTAACATGACTAACAATTTTTCTGTTCTGGTAAGGTAGAAATTAAATTTGTATATAGTAGAATAAATGCTTCTGAAATTAAGAAAGCACTTCAAAAGGGTCCAGAAAAGACACCATATTGGTCATTTCATAATTGTAAGCATCAAAAATGGAGATGCTGTTCTTTATAACTGTCTTGCTTTGAGCAAAATAAAACAATCACTATTTTGTTATCTTTATCGCCATTTTAATAATCTCTTAACAGTAAATTGATCATGTTTAAGTACAATATCTGAGTTTTTTTTTTTTTTTTAATATATGGCAAAATTTCAGAGGATGTTAAAATATTTTGGTATTTTATATTGAATTTTGCGTCTCCTAAAAAAAAAAGTCCTCTTTTTCTAAGATATTTTAGGACTTTCAGATTCTGGTGGGCGGGAGGAGTGCATACCCTATCTCCCACCAGAAGCTATCAGAGTAAAAAACTTGCAAGATTTAAGAACATTAGTATTAAAAATGAACTCTTCATAAAATTTAAATTCTACAGAAATAAAATTAGCAACTTATTAAAAAGTTATTAAAAAGCCATACTACATTGCTTATTTTAATAATAACATGAACAACTTATAAAATACATAGAAGAAATCATAGATATTAAAACATGAAACACCTACTCAGCTAAATCTGAATGAAAAAATCGTCACAGACCATGTGACTGTTTTAAATATATTTCTTAATTATTTTGTTTCTATTTGTGAAAAACTACTCAATGTAATCATACAATCAAAATGTGCTTAAAGTGACTTTCTTAATTTGCCTAATGTTATTCCTTCTTTATTAGTCCCATGAGTGAAAATGAGGTACATAATCTTGTTTATAATGCTCTTAAAAATGATAAAAGTTATGGACCTAATAGCATGCCTCCATCTTTTCTTGAACTTACTTCTCACATAATTTCCAAACTTCTTTGAGGTTGTACGTAAATTACGCCAGCAATTTTTGACTGTTTTTAACCCCCTCCGCCGTCGTTACAAAATCGTAACACTTTAGTAACAAGTCCCGTATGAGTTGTCACAAAACCATTAACCCTCCTACGTAACGTAGGAGGACGTAATTTATACACGTTTCCTTTTTCCTGACGTAATTTATACGCGTTTCCTTTGCATGACAAATAATTTTTTTTTAAAGTAGCATATTCTCTGAGGTTTTCAAAGTAGCTAAAGTCATACTAATTTATAAAAAAGGCTTCTTGCTTGACTTTTTTAACTATCAACCCATTTCTTTTCCCTCCAACTTAAGCAAGCTTTTTGAAAGGTTTTGCATAACAAACTACAAAAGTTTAATTGACTATACCAATATCAGTATAAGTTTAAAGCAAACATTCAACAACCCTTGTACTTTTCAAAATTACTTAAAAGATTAGAAGAGCTCTAGATAATAAGAACTTTTTGTATGGGGCGTTTATAGATTTGCAAAAAACTTTTAATTCTGTGGATCAAAATTCAATCAGATGAAGCACTCCACTAAAATGGTTTATTTTATCTCCAAAAAAGTTTATTTTCATTAGTGGCACTAAATCTAATTTGAAGAATTGCTCAAATGGCACCCCACAAATTTTATTCAGTTGCTTTGTTATAATAAAATTTTTCTCAGTTAAAACAAAACAGAGCAGATAATCTTTAAATCCAATCTGACACCAATTAATAATTGGTGTCAAATTGGTTTTAATAATCTGACACCGCCTAAATTTTAGACTAAGCGGACAGAAAATTTATCCTTTGTTTTCTTTTCGTTTATATATCTTTTATTTAAATTCATTGGTTTAAAAATTTAAAAATTACAGAATTTTTTACATTCATACATACACACAATCATACATATATATGCACACATATTTTGGTTGTTAGATTTGTAGTTGCTTTGATTAACTAGTGTATAAGTTATGTTTCCCATCTCTTATAAGACGCAATGTTCTTTGGGTAAAACTATTTTTGTAAGCCGTATTTGCAGTAGCTATTTTGAAACCGAAGTTGATATTTTTTCTTGTTGTTATTTTGGGTTTATTTTTTGTCTTTATGTTTAGCGGATGATTTGGGTTTCGTAGAATACGCTTAAGGATTTTTATACATATATTGTCAATGTATGTGTCGCTGTTTTCAATGTTATATTTTGTTCTGGCTATTTCTGGACTAATGCCTATAGATTTTAGCATTTTTAGATGTATTTGCTGTATTTCGTGCTTTATTTTGATACTGCTTGCACACAGTAATGGTGTACTATGGATCAAGTCCAATGCTTCGGTATATTGTTACTACTAATTCACTGTGAAAGCCTAATTTTACTTACTAAGCCTAATAGTACTGAGCTAAGGAGAATTTGGGCTTGATGCAATGCCAGTGTTTGTCGGTGTTTATTTCAATATTTAAATCTAATCCTAGGTATTTTTTTAATCAAAGTTAGAGTCCCTTCACCCACTTGGTTGTTGCGTTCATTGCTAATTGTATAATATTTGTCATTAATTTCGTTCAGTATTATGATTTTATTTTGCTCGTTTAACCAAGTTTCTGTTATGCACACTAGATCGGCTTCAGTGTCTTCCATGACTTGGTTAATTAATTGCGTTTTGTTACAAATCGATAAGGTTTTTTTTACGAGTATAGATGGCAGGTATTTGGTTTTTGCTGGGTAAAATTTGGCTGCATTCGGGTTGAGTGGTGTTTGACAGAGTTTTCTTTGAAGAGGTTGACAAGACTTAGGTAGCAACTTGGTAGTTTCCGCTGGAATAGTTCATAATTGATGAAGGGCTTGTTTTATAGTGTTGTTTAAGCTCTATTAAATATCTTAGTTTTTCAAGCTCTATTAAATATTTTATTATTAAAATTGATTCTAATCTTTCTTTTTAAGACCATCCAAATGACTCGGAAACGAAACTCAGCAGATCTCACCGAATGCTAGCCAAACTCCGCCATTTTATAAATCTAGAAACTCTGCTAATTATATATTATGCTATTTTTGACATGCATATCTTAATATGCATGTCAAGTATGGGGACAGTTCCATAAACAAATCTTTTCGAGATTGCACCATCTCTAAAATAAATCCTTATAAATAATTTATTTCCAGTATAATAACTTTAAATCCCTATCATTTAATAATTTTTTTACAAGTACAAATTGTGACTATCTTCTTCGCTCCATTAGTAGCCTAAACTTAGTTATTCTGTTAAATATCGAAATAAATCCATTAAGTATCAATGTATTAGCTTGTGGAGCTACCTCCAGAAATAAAATCTCATTTTTTGATACTTTTAACACTTTGAAATTATTTATTTATCCATTTTTATGTTATTCCTCTGGTTTTTAATCTGTTGTTTTTAATACTTTTATTAAAATTTTCATTCTGTTGTTTTAATACTTTTATAAAAATTTTCATTCTGTTGTTTTTAATACTTTTATTAAAATTTTCATTCTGTTGTTTTTAATACTTTTATTAAAATTTTCATTCTGTTGTTTTAATACTTTTATAAAAATTTTCATTCTGTTGTTTTAATACTTTTATTAAAATTTTCATTCTGTTGTTTTTAATACTTTTATTAAAATTTTCATTCTGTTGTTTTTAATACTTTTATTAAAATTTTCATTCTGTTGTTTTTAATACTTTTATTAAAATTTTCATTCTGTTGTTTTTAATACTTTTATTAAAATTTTCATTCTGTTGTTTTTAATACTTTTATTAAAATTTTCATTCTGTTGTTTTTAATACTTTTATTAAAATTTTCATTCTGTTGGTACTTTTTTATTTTATTTATCTATCTATTTGATTATCTCTTTTCATTCAACTCTCTATTCTGTAAGTTTTTATGTTACTAAACTTTTATTTTACTAAACTTTTGCTGTTATAGTCTTCATTAATGAAATTCGTCTTTTATAATTATTGTTGTTGCAGTTATTATTATAATTATTGTTATTATAATTATTATAATTGTTTCTATTATTATTATTATTATTATTATTGTTATTATTAATATTATTTTAATTATTATAATTACTATTGTTGATATTAGTTATTATTTTTATCACTACTTTTATCAGTGTCTATATTGTTATGTTGTATATACGTGAATGAAGAAAGCCCAGAGTATATTCAGGTACTAATGGGAGATCGGGGCTTTTTGGCAGCAGAAAATTACATAGAACCTTCCTCATTGACCATTTCATTTGTCACTGTAGTTTTGTTAGGATTCACGCATGCGCATGGGAGATATTGAGATTTGTGTGTTTTTTGGACAAAAACGTGACTTTTTGAACATCGCTACCTTTTTACATTGCCAAGAAAATAGTTAGTAGTATGAAAAAAAAGTCACAATTGATTTATTATTTCAATTTCTTTTTCAATAGTTGTTTAAAAGGCTTTTGGGCTAAGTTTGTAAGTAAGTTGGTAAGTAAGTTGGATCAAATTTTACGGGGTTAGTAAAAATTTTAGTAGGGTTAGCTAGACTCATAGCATTTATTATAGAAAAAAAAATGTTTTTAGAAAATTAATTTTTTTTTTCTTTTTTAATTTTTAACAATATTAAAAAAATTTATTTTTTACAAAAAAATTAAAATGAAAATTTTTAGGTTTTTTTTAACATAAAAAAGGGCTTAAAAAAAAGCCCTTTTTTAAAGATAAAAAAGGGCTTCTGTTTTGGGTTTACGTCCGAGCTAATATTTGGTACCATATTAAATTTTTGGCTTGAAATTGTTGCCAAAATAAATAAATAAAAAAATTCTATAAATTTTGCACTTAATAATCATTTTTGTAGTTTGCGCCAACTTACCTTAGGGTAAGGTAAGTTAGGAGACTTTTTTTAAAGCCCCAAAAAACCCGAAAGAAATTTATTTTTATATTGAAAACAAGTTTAAAATGCTTCCTAAATTCATACTCTTTAAGAACAAGCTTTAATATTTACAAAATATTTTGCCGTTAGGGCAACAGAGCTCAAAGAGTAAAAACAAAGGCAACTAGTCCCGGGCTTCCCTACTTTACATTAGGATTTGTACTATTGTAAATTTTTTTGAAATGTTATAACTTATTTTATATGTTATACTTAAGTATATTTTATTTGATTTGAGACATTTTCATTTGCCCCTCAGATATTTCCGGCGATAAACATCTTCCAACTGTCATACTTTTTTAAAATTTAATTTTCTGTTTATTTAATTTCAAAGTGACTAAATCAAATAAATTCATAATCAAAATTATTTTTTAATTAAAACAAATTTTAATCAGTTGGTACCAGATCCTAATGAAGCAAAGTAAAAAAACACTGTTTAGTACAAAACAGAATTGGTTGAAAAAAATAAGTAAAAATTGTTACTTAAAATTACAAAATATTTTTCTATTTATGATGGCTAAACATAAAAAGATAACTAGAAAATGAATCATTTTCCCAGCCATGTTTCATTGATAAATGCGAAGAACAATTTATGTTTATACAAACATCGTCATTAAAGCTTTGAAAACTTTATTTTGCACAGACATTTTACTAAAATGTACACGAAGTTCAACATAAAATTCATTGATGGATCTAAGCTCAGGTGAAGTTTCCCTACAAAACAGAAGAATTAAATTATTAAAAAATATGATGTAATGCAAAACATGATGAAAGTGTTAGAAAAAGAGTTATCATGATGTATGAACTCCTAAAAAATTCATCTTGATTAAGAGATTTGGCTTTTTTACTCGGCAATACTATCTTAAAAAGTTGAATGCAGGTCTACAACGTGAAAGTATCCTGTTCCCAATCAGATCAATACTTTTAAATACAAATTAAATATTTTCAAACTCTTGTTAAATGTTTGAAGGATCTTAATCTTTACCCAACACTAAAAAAAAATCCGCTATTTTAAAACTAAAGTCCTTTAATTCTAAAACTAAAAGTTAAAATTTAAAACTAAAGTCCTTTAAAGTCCTTTGATTCTCGCTATTATGACTTTGTTGCTGAAAAATGAACTTAATTTTGTTTATCAATCCCTATTTAATCACAGGAAACGACATAAGCCACTATTCTCCAAAAATACAATTAAAAGTTATCGATATTCAAGAACACACCGGATTAAAGGAAAAGCTTAAAGAGCTTTGTGTTAATCAAATGTCCCCTGACATTGAAGAAGAACAAAAATTTATGGAAATTGGTTCACAAATCTGATATTCCAGAATTTATTGAAATTGTACTTAGATGTGTCTGCAACTTTGATGAATTAATTATTAGTATTATTAGATATTATTAATTAGTATAAAAGTTTAACTATTATTAATTTTAATTATCATGTATTTACACTAGGCGTCGTCCATACATCACGCAATTTTGACCGTTTTTGATACCTCTTCCCTTTCCCTCCCCCTTGTCAGAACATCATATATCTCTAGTAACAGGTCCCGTACGAATTGTAACAAAACCACAAAACTCTCCCTACCCCCCTACCCCTCCTTCCGCCCTATATATTAATATTTTTTAATAACTTTGTATTGATGTACCATTTCAAATATATTCAAAGTGAAATATGAGAAGTGGATTTGCAAAACCAGATAATTCACTTTTTTTAAAAAAAAGACTTAGCAATGTTTTTTTGTAGTATTAATATTCCTACATCTATACAAATAAAAATTAAATTTAAAAGCAACTATTTTAATAACATTTTACCTGCCTTAAATTATTCTGTCCGTTCAAAACCAGATAAAAAAAAATTATAATTGATGAAAAATAAGACAAACATTTTATCTAATCAACATTCTTTTTTAAAAACGTTTTATAAAAATGGAGAACGTTATTTAAGAAAAAAATCATATACAAAAAAATTCACTAAAATCACAAAAGTCTTGTTAAAATAGTTACAATTTAGTTTTAACTTTTTCACAAAAGTCTTATTAAAATAGTTACAATTTAGTTTTAAATGCGAACTGGCATAAGTGCGAATCGGCATAAGTGCGAAGTAGTTACAAAAATTGGCATAAGTGTGAACTGGCATAACTGCGAATTGGCATAAGTGCGCTGAATAAATTTGCTAATATTGGCATAAGTGCAAATTGGCATAAGTGCAATCTGGCATAAGTGCGAAGCAGTTACAAAAACTAGCATAAGTGCAAACTGGCATAAGTGCAAATTGGCATTAGTGTGCCTTATAAAATTTCTAATATTGGCATAAGTGCATATAAGTATTTAGCACTTTTGCCAGTTCGCACTAATGCCAATATTTGCAAATTTATATGACGCACTTATGCCAATTCGCAGTTATGCCAATTCTCACTTATGCCAGTTTTTTTAACTGCTTCGCACTTATGCCAGTTCGCATATATGCCAATACGCACTTATGCTAAAGTTTGAAATTTTTTTTGGTGCACTTATGCCCATTCGCAAATATTCCAGTTCGCACTTATGCAACGTTTCGCACTTATGCCAGTTCGCACATATGCCAATTCGCGCTTATGTCAGTTCGCGTTTTCGCCATTCGCATTTATGCCAGTATGCACTAAAGAAATTCGCGCTTATTCAGTCGTCCGTTTTTTCATTTTGTAATAAAAATAACATCAAAACATTTTTTTAATGATATCTGTTGTTGTTTAGCTTTTAATTTTTTAATTTTTAGCTATTCGATATACTGGAAAACATTTTTTGCAATTATCTCAGTATGAAAAAAAAGTGAATTATCTGGTTTTGCAAGTCCACTCCTCATATAATGACTAAATCAAATAAGGGCTAGTGCAGTGGAGTGTACATACATAGACTTGAGGGTTTGGTTTAAACAGTTTATTTTAAATTTTTAAACTTTATTTTGCCTTATTTCTTAAAACATTTTCAGCAACTTTCTTTAAAATTATTACGGTTATTGTAGTTTTTTTATATATATTTTTTTATATACGGTTATTGTTATTTTTTTTTCATATATTTGAAAAATATTTTAGCTAAACTAAACTCCTTTTTAAACTCATTTTTATAACCAATTAAATCTAATAGTTATTGAATCCTAATTGAAACCAGTATTGTTTTTACACAATCGAAGGACAATTAGTTTCAGTTAGATAACATTAGTTTCCGCTCTAACGTTTTTCGTGTGAAAGAAACGGAAGCGTTAATATATTCCTCGAGTAACGCATTTAATGGAAAGACATAACTGTTGTTAAATGTATTATAAAAAATGTCTTGCCATTTGATTTCTTATGATATTTGAGTAGCGCATTTATTTGAACATTCATTTAATATTTAATTACATTAAAATGAGTTATCAGTTGGACAATAGAGGGGTGGTTTTAAATACTGCCTGAATTTGTTTACTAGGGAACATATACCTTTTATGTTTTGCAATACTAATGTGTGATAGTGAAGCCACACTTGTGAGTAGTTCTCTACGCCATGAATAACATACTGGTCAACAAAATCACAAGTTGGTCGATTCCATATAGAATCGTTGCAGTAAATAAATGGTAGTATATGAATGTTTTCCCTCGGTAAAACACCTATATTATTCATTAGTATACCTAAGTTTGCATCTTCATTTGGTATTATTTTTTTTTGTTGACTAGCACTCACAAGGCGCGGAATCAGATCTCCTGATAACAAAATTCCGCCTCCGGACACATATGGTGGTAAAAGAAATCCATTATAGTCATTTACTGAAATATAAAACTTGCTGGTGTTATCACGATTTGGTGGCATAAACCATTGAACCCTTCCTGTATACAATGGCAAGAGAGGTTCGGATTTCAAAAAGTTTAATATATTAACAACATTTACGTAACAATCGTCATCCGTTTTTAATAAGAAGTCAGGTCGACAGTAATTTGACGACCATATTAGCGAGTTTAAAGTTTTATACGATAAATTTCTGTAGGTGTCAAGTATATCAATAAATAAAATATCACTGTATGAGCTTGCTTCTTGAGCGATCATTTCGTTAACTGGAGCAGACAAACTTCTTCCAACCGCAAATACGGTACTATATGTTAAATTACCAGTTAATTGCTTATTAAATCTATTTTGGGACGAACCCCAGCTGTATCTAATAGCGAGTCTTCTTTTAATATTTTCTGCAGAAGAATGAACTAAAATTAAAAAACTTAATGGTATTCTGCACTTTGGTTGGATTGTTTTAAGTTTGTTATTCTGAAACACATTCTTATTATTTACGGACTGGGCAATTGGTTTAAATTGTTTTTTATAAACATGATAATAATCTCGTTGTGCTTCAAAATACATACTCTCAAGTTCAGCAACGTAACTTTGAAAAGGCAGCAACGGTCTTGTATAACTAAGTTTTATTATTTCTTTATTGTAATATTGTTTTAGAAAGACGCATATCAATAAAAACAGAAATAATAAAACGAATTTCTTTCTTTTAAAACTCTTCTCTAAAATATTTCTAAACATTAAAGCGCAATAATATTCGTACTTGGTAACGGCAAAATTGAGATCTTTTGTAAATCTCCAAATCACAAAAAATTAATGTTCAAATAATGCAATTTTGGGTATAATGCAAACGTTTTTTTAAGTAAACTAAAAGCTCAAAATGTTTAAAGCGTTTACAGTGATGGGCATACTTACATTAAAACGCCTAGAGGCCTCAAAGTAAATGAGGCCTAGAGTTTATTTTTTGTTTTGCTTTTGATGTGTAAGTAAAAAAAAAAAAATTAAATTAAGAGTTGTTTTTTTCTGCACGTAAACTTTTAAATCTAATCCCGGCTTGGTAATAAGTACTTCAATGTAATTGGAAAATAGACCGGAACACGTGGAACAAATATGGCTGAATTTCATATAGGAAAAGGTGCATTGAGCAAAAGTTGTGACCTACAAACATAACTTCGTACCATTTTTAGATAGATTCAAAAAAATAATGGTAAAACTAAATGAATGTTATTATACTATAATACTTTATATTTATATAATTCCAAAGCCTATATATTTACATAGTTTCATGTTACATATTTACGTTACATTTACATATTTACCACATAAAGTATTATTTCTCTTTATGGTTATAACTATTTGTTTTTAAGTTGCGCCTGAACTATTTTTTCAACTCTTTGATTTTATCACTGATTAAATAAGGAAAACTTAATAGTTCCAATCAAGGATACTTTGGACTTTTTTGTTATATTGCTGCAGTATCATATTGCAGCAACTTGTAAGATAAGTTCATGTTAATGCTTGCATTTTAAATCCCATCGCATTAAACACAAAAAATCTTATAACCCACAGCTGTATAATTTGTCTGCTACAATCAATACAATGCGAACACAAATCTAAATCATTGCAATAAAAAAAACAACTTTAATTTGATGGTGCACTTGAGGGATAATTTTCAAAATATCTCAAAAGCCTAAATCTTTGGAAAGCCTTATGGTCTTCTTAAAAAGTACCGCAAAAAAGTATTTAATGAATTATTTTAATAAATTAAGTTCCTTTTTCGGACCTTTAAAAATTAAAAAAAATTAAAAATAGATCACGTAACTACTAATTTGAACAAGATTTTATGTAAAAGTCAATCAATTTTTCAAAAAATATATTTTGACTGAACAAGCAATTTTTAAATTCTTCTTAATTAATTTAAAATCTTCAATACTTTTGTTTAAACTAAATTCACAAATCATACTTTTTGGATCATATTTGAATGCGTGGAGCCGTTTTAATGATTTTTGATACATAAAATAAAATTTTTGAACAGTTTGTTTAACGTGTATGCTCACTGATGTTTAACAGTGCAGCATTGTCCACGTGTCAAGTTTAAAGCTTTTAGTCTGAGGAATTTCTTTAGTGTATAACGTTACTAATTAAATATACTTATCGAAGGTTCAAGAAGAAAATATTTTATTCTAAAAACATGAAAATGGGGCGAATTGGTCCAATGCAAACGGGTCGTCGGCCATGTGAGTCAACGTTACATGTATAATTTTTTTAATCAGACGAGACACAGTGGTTGCGCACTTCCCTCAGAAACAAAGAATCCGTGGTTCAAACCCCACCTCTGCGCAAGTTTAACGACTTCGGTTAGAAAGGAGGCGTAAACTTCCAATTAAAAGCTCATCCGCGTTGCTCTGTGATAAGACCGTAAAGACTTCTTGGGGCGCTTAAAAAATAAAAATAATAATAGTAATTTTGTTGTATCATTGTTATATCAGTTTTTGTTATAAAAATGTAAAAGTTGTAAAAAAAGTTTTCTTAAGAGTTTTTTTATCAATATATACTTGTTAGATTTGTATATAATAGGCTCAGCATTCAAGTGGATTCAAAGCTATTTGTCTAACAGAAAGCAATTTGTATTACTAAAAAAGTCAGGAGCCCTCGATATTACGTGCGGAGTTTCTCAGGGTTCAATCCTTGGTCCATTATTGTTTTTAATATATATTAACGATATGCATTAAGCTTCCCAAAAAATATCTACAGTTATGTATGCTGATAATACAAATTTATTTTTTAATCATCCTGATGCAAAGACATTGTTTGAAACTATGAATATTGAACTCAAAAATTTCAACCTTTGGTTCATAGCAAATAAACTATTCCTAAATTGTGAAAAAACTAGCTTTACTCTTTTCCATTAAAAAAAAACAATCAATTAATCTTCCATTAAAGCTGTCTAAACTGTTTATTAATAAAAATAAAATTAAACGTGAAAAATACACAATATTTTTGGGAATACTTTTTGATAAAAATTTGTCATGGAGAAACCATATTGGTCTTCTTAAAACAAAGGTGTCCTCTGTAATAGGTGTTTTGTATAAGTCAAGACCTTTTCTCGATAGTAAATCACGTAATATGCTTTTCTTTAGTCTTGTACATGATCAGCTTTTGTACGCAAATATTCTATGGGCCAGGACGCATATAACCAAATTGCTAAAATTGCAAAATCTGCAAAACTATTCATGCAAAGCAATTAATTATTTAAATAGGCTAGTAAACCTGGCTCCAGTGATGAAAAGTATGATGGTTCTAGATAACAAGAAACTTAACTCATTACAGATATTAGTTTATATGTATAAGTAAAAAAACCATCTTCTACCAAGCGTTTTTTCAGATAATAATCGTAATTTTCGTATGTAATAAAATATTTCTTGACATCATTTTCTGAAAAATATAATCTGCGTTCAAATACCAGGTACAACTATTGCCTAAGGAAAATTAAATTACAGCAGTCAAGTTTTCTAATTACAAACAATGGTCTATCAATATGGAATCATTTCCAAAATAAAAACATTAAAGACCTAAAAAGCATTTCATCATTGAAACGACAAACTAAAATGCATCTTCTTAATTCCTGATATATATATTATAGTTAACAGTATTTGTTTTCAGATTTTTAAATTTTTTATTTTTTCTTCTTTTTTTTCTTATTTGTGTTAATATTTTTTTTGTTTTCAATTTTTTACACTGAGTTTTTCTTTATCGAATTTTTATTTTACTTTAAAAGTTAAAGGTTTTTTTTAAAAAAAATTAAAATAAAAAAAAAAAAAAATTTAATTTAGTATATTCAATGGTTTGAAATTCACTATAATGATCATTAGCTAATAGTTTAGAAAAAATTATTTGTTGGGGAAGACGCGGAATATTCGACCACTTAGCTGGTTTTTATTAATTTACAGCTGTTTTTTTGCCAGAAACAATTAAATTTTTTTAGCATTACAAGTAATGGTCTTAAAGAAACAAATTAAAAAGATAATATATATAAAGTATTTATTTTTGTTAAATCTACTACTCTTTTAAATGTAAGCCTCAAAGCGGTCGAATGTACCCCACCGCTGGGCTAGTTTCGACCATCTAGAGGGGTACTTTCGATCATTTCATTATTAGTAAAATAATAAATCTATAAGGTTTTTTCTTTTTAATGTTTTATTGTACTAGAAAAACTTTCCACAAAAAAATAAAAACAAATAGCAATAGCTATTTTACAACAAGATTTGCGAAGTTATATCGAAATAAAAATAGCGATGCCGTTTTTTACGTCTTTGTTAGAGTCCCAGACTATAAGAGCGTTTTTTTTTTTCAGGTTGATAACTTTTCCTCATTTTTCTTATTTTTTCCAAATGAATTTTCTCAATCTTTTCCTTTTTCAGGAGTGTCAGCATATATCGTTGACTTAGTTTCCTTTTTATTTATTCTGTCTTTGAGAAGCTTTGGGCAAGAACCGCACATGTTCAAAAATCAGTTTTTATTTGTTAGAGTTATTCTAGTAGTTGCAGAAGGAGGTTTCATTGGTAGATAAGAGTGGTAAATTATTTTGTAATGGTGTACCTATTACCCCTAGACTTTTACTTGGTTCTCCCTACGGTTAGGACTATTGTTATTGTTATTGTAAAAATTAAATACAATAACAATTACAATACAATAATATTGTAATGTAATACCAGAGATGCAAATAAAACATTATTTATGGTTATTGTGTTGCTGTGAATAAAAACAGTTACAATAACTATTGTATTTTTTCACGCATTTATTATTATTTGGGCACTAGATAATTTAGGGGTGCCCGTGACGCTCGTTTTCAGCAGTCATTTATATATATAAATTTTATTTATTTTGAGAAGTGAAGTGAAGCCAGGGAAGCCAAAGAAGTATATATACTACATATACTTAACAAATATTAGGTTTCTAGAAACCATTTACATATATAAATTTTATTTATTTTGAGTTCAATAATATAACTGTTTCAATAATAATTTATTTAGAATTAACATTAATAATATTCATTCAAAATCATACAAATATATAATTTATCATATGCTTGTAACAAAATAATTATTTACTTTAAGAATTCTTAAAGTAAATAATTATTTTGTTACAAGCATATGATAAATTATATATTTGTATGATTTTGAACCGGTGCTAATTAAATATATTGATTACATATTAGCGGTTAAATATATTTAACCGCTAATATGTAATCAGTTACATCGTTATGGAAATTTTGTGTGGATCATTTTTGAAAATTATGCAAATATATATATATATATATATATATATATATATATATATATATATATATATATATATATATATATATATATATATATATATATATATATATATATATATATATATAATTAATATTATATAAATATAATTAATAAAATGTATATATATATATATATAATTTTTTTTTAAAAATTAGTTTTTGCTTATTATAAGTTTATTATAATTATAAACATATTTTTTTTTTTGTGTTTTTGTTTTTGTCGAATTTTCATTCATTATTATAATAATAACAATAATATATATATATATATATATATATACATATATATATATATATATATATATATATATATATATATATATATATATATATATATATATATATATATATATATATATATATATATATATATATATATATATATATATATATATATATGTATATATATATATATATTATTGTTATTATTATATATAATGAATAAAAATTCGACAAAAACGAAAACACAAAAAAAAATAT